AAATCATATTGCTACTTGACGTCAAACTAACTCACCTAAAGGTTAAAATCATATTAATATTTAACGTCAAACTAACTCACCTAAAGGTTAAAATCATATTGCTACTTGACGTCAAGCTAACTCACCTTGAGGTAATTTTTTTTTTGATGGTAGAAATTAATTCAAAAGTACGTAGAACCTCATAATACTATTTTATCTTAATACTAAACATTGTAAAATATTATACATATTAAGATAATATTTTCGGTATTTTTGTTTTACAAATAACCGTTGTATAAACCAATCACAGACTCTTGTGAGCAAGGCAAACAAAACGTTTTTCAAGTAATCAATTATATCACAGAAATATCACCCGAAGAGAAAGGTCATCAAACGAATACCTACACACTGGACTAACTTCGTTGTAAGTCGCACGATTTACGAATTCATTCCGTTCGTCAAAAAAAACTCTTTTCATAAACGTAAACAACAACAACAGAAATGAAACACCCTTACCAACTTACAGCGAGTTCAAATAAATTCATTGTTTAATTCTCCATTTTCGTCAAATCATTAGCCATACGTCAATAAAATGTTCGTTGTTCTACATTAATCCTAAAACGTGGAAAACATCTATTTGCTAATTATTACATGTGCCATAAGGTTATCTACTGTACACTCTCAACAGCCTCCTTCAAATAAATAAGATGTCCAGAAATTATGTTAACAGAGTTATTACAATTTATTTTATTTTTTAACGTATGAAACGTTGTAGCACACTTTGCACACGAAGTGTACATATTTGCATAATTTGCAATCCTGGAACTTCAAAGTCTGATATCTGTGAAACACAGGTAAACAATTTTGTAAGCATGATTTCCGGACACCTTTTATACGCCAAGTTAAGGAGTACAATCTTTTGAATATTATTATTGTTGTAACTGTTGCTTACTTTTAAATATGAAAATGTGTTCAAAATATATAAAAATTCTTTGCCTATAAAGCCCAAAGATAAAATTCAAATTAGTATTGATTAATACTACAGTACAGTGCTAGTGTAATAATTAGTACAGTGCTAGTGTAGTATTGTGCGAATTATATTTCTATGTGTCTTAAAACTCTAGAAATTTTAAATGTAGAGGAAAAAAAAACCTTTATATTTTCAAAAATTGGAATTATTTGCTACTAATTACATTCTTATGCTTAACCCTATATTTAACTTTTCAGGATATACTCTAAGTGTACATGGTGAGGATCTGGTTTACATAAAACCTCAGTCTTTTTTTTTTACTGTACAGAGCAACCTTTGATTTCTCAGAAAACCAGAACACGTTTAATCACTCAAAGTGACTGTTGTTCTTTAAAAATTACTCTTTCAAAAGACGAAATGTCCACTTCTCCGCAAACTGGATTTTGATTACTAGGAAGTCGTTCTTCACCAATTCAAAACATTTGTCTTTTAGAGGATACTTTAAAACATCTCCGGGAAATTTATTATTTCCACTGCACAGGAAAAATCGTTGCTTTTTTGAACTCAATGTGACCTGATTTGTTTTAAAACACTGATTTACAACGCTTTAGGAATATTAATTTTATTTGAACTTTCTTCTATCTTTTTAACAGGTGGAAAGACATTTTGGTGAAAATGACCAATGACATTGCCGGCGGGTCTGTAATTTGCAACCACCACAATCTTTCCAAATCGTGTTCTTGTCTTTCCGATTCCGAACTCCTGCGTGTTTCTCCAAACCATTTGTGTGAAGTGATCTGCATAAGATAAATATCAATTTGTAATGGCTCGAAAAGGCAGACTTATATAACTTGCTTCATCAAACTGTCCAACAGCCAAGAATAAATCAGATATAACAGAATGTAAATTTTTAATTTTCTCCATCTCAGAGAAATATGTAAATACAACAGTAACGACATAAGAATATAAACAAGAGTAAAACTGTAATTAACGTTATTTTACCAATAAAATTTCATTAAAATTCGAAAAAATAAATTCTTACTGGATTTAACGTGTAACAACGATGGTTTCTGATAAAAATCGTACATCTTAATTTCCTGGTACCAATACTTGGCCACCTGGTCTCCTGGAAATGAAAAAAAAAATCGCATATACTGAACAGTTCATGAATATCAAGTTCAATCCGATATCTAACACCAAAAATTCTACATGTGTGTTATCATGCGCTTTATAGGGTATTTATTAAAACTGACGCAAGTTATTTAAACTTAATATAGTTGCAGGTTCTAATCCTAGCACTGAACATGCTCACCCTTGAAGCCGTGAGGGCGTTATTACGTGTCGGTCAACCCCACTATTCGATTAGAGTAGCCCAAGAGTTGGCGGTGGATGGTGTCTTCATTCTAGTCTATCACTGCTAAGTTAGGGACGGTTGGTGCAGCTAAAGCTCGAGTAGTTTTATGCGAAATTCAATAAATAAACAAACAAACTCATGAGTAAACATGGTAGAGTTTCATATTTCCAGGTGAGCAGCAATATATATATATTCGCAACTCAATCATCTCAGTAAATTAATTCTTGATCATTAATTTTTAACCAGCCATGCTTTAATCTTAGAACAATATTCTTTCAATAAAAAACCAACAATTCAGTAAACATACAGAGTTAACAAGCCTGATTTAAACAGATATGATTCACTTTCTTTCACTTCATTTTTAACTTATAACGAGTTGTCTGTATTTTTATGATCAGAGTTTTATTTCTCTCTTGAACACCTTCTAAGTGTTGGCTAACTTGTGAAGCGAATTATTAAAAATACATGTTATAATTCGAAATACTGTACTGATATATTGCTCATACAACGTCCCTCTGGATAAGCTGAAAATTCATCGCAGATACATTTTAAATTAGACATGTAAAAGTCGATTCTATCTAAAGAACATATCAAAAGGGTAAATTATTCTGTACTTATTTTCAGTGTGATATCATAAAGCTACATGTAACAATAGAGGAGCCCAGATTATGCACAATAACAAATAACTACTTCTCTGAGCGAGCAATCCTCCAATACGAATTGTTAACACACACAAAAGCTGTGTACTGATGAGGCTGCATGTTGTAACCTTGTAATCAACTATTCATTGGACAGGAAATCAGTGATAGTGCGTGAATCAAACAACTAATTTTTATGTGTTGTAAGTTAAATTATATTCTTTCTTTAAATTTAGTTTCATTAACAATATTGATTAAATGTCTAACATGTACAATGTATATATATTTTAGTTATCTTTCATATATATATATATATTTTCCAGAACTCGTGAGATATTATTGATATTATTGGGGAAAATATCAATTACTACAAGAATTTCTAATCACTTCGTTAAATAACATTGTATGTACCTAATTACACCAGTATATTAAGTAAGCTATTTTCACTATGTTAATTTTTAGTTCTAGTTCTAAACCATGTTAGATAGCTTGTAACGTTTAAAAGACTTGTAACGTTTGATTGTACAAATAAAAGATATTGGAACAAATTCAATTCAAACTCAATTCTGTACCGTATTTGCCACAGTTAGGAAACATAAAATTCGTATACTTTTCTATTTTTAACAGTATTTGAATAAAGTCTGCTATACTTTCTGTAATACATTTTAATTGCTAATATCATTAAGCATTATATATATATATGATTAACACTTGATAATTAATGAAACGTGTTATGAAACATCAGAACAACAAAGTGTTTGAAAAACGGACAAAAATGTTTTGGTTGAAATTCTGATCATTACATATTAGTGTTATTATTCTCCACGCTTTGTTTATAATATTATTCTAATTGGTGTTTTATATTTTATATATCATAACGTTCACAAATATTAAGAACGATTCTTGTCGTTTTGACACAATGGAATATTGTTTTTATATTTACACTAACGCTTCTATTTATTGCGTGGTGTTATTTTAAATATAATCCCAGTGTCAAAACTACAAGTGCAAGTATGTTTTATCACAAATTATCTCTCTCCAACTTCAAATAATCTATATAATTAAAATAACAATGTGTGCCAGTCAGTCAGTTCGTGCGTGTATGCGTGATCGGGCACGTGGAAGCCCAATATTTCTATTGACTAATTGTACGGAGGTAATTTTATTTTTATACGTATGCAAAAGTGAACGACGTTTAATTAACGTGCATTGTTCTACACGAGTGCAAAACTACGACATTCATAACATTAACTTTAGAGATTATTACTTTGATAACATAAACAAACATGCAAGGAAATACATTAAGTTAATTCTTTACGTTTCCGTGGTTTATAAGTAACGGAATACCATTGCATCTCAGTACAAATTCCAACAGACGTTTAAAAATCGACAATTAGGCCTAAAGTTTAAATATGCACGAGTTTATTCTTAGCCTTAATAGTCACTACCACAACTTCATTGATTTCTTGATGCTCTACAGCTAACAGATTGCACAAAAGAAAATAATTACAGGTTTCAGATGATATTTAAATGCGATTTAGACATATATATACATACAAGAAATTTACACAAAACACATGACGACAGTTAATTTATACACTCCTTGATACCATATTTTTAAGAATACACTATTTTATAACTATTATACGTTTTTAACCATTTCAATACAGGGGCTTAAAAATCGACAGTTAGGTTTCAAGTCTATGATGTCAGAAAAGCCCATAGGTTTAAGATGTCTTAATATAAAACAATAAAACCCTATAACCCGAGCGTTTTCGACAGGTGGAAAAATGTTTCAGTAGTCAAAATATTTTAGTACATACATCGTACGAAAAGCACGAGCTTATCCCTAACGTATCTATTATTCTAGTATTAATCAAAAATCGTAAAACAATTGTTAACCCTAGATATAAGATAATCTAGGCAGAACAAGGCCAGACGTGGCCAAGTGATTATCTTGCTGGGATGGGGATCCAAAGGTTCAAGATTCAAATCCGCAATATACTATTGAACTCACTCCGGACTTTCAGGTGCGGGTGCATTATAAATATCTATTCGATTAAGAACAGGTGTATAACCCTTGAAAATACTAAGTACAGACAGAGTAAGTTAAAAAATCAATAATATATACTTTACCTGTTGGATCGGCGTCTGAAATACCAAGACATTTACAAAAGAGGTTCTGACCGATGCCCATGTCGTTTCTGTGGTAAATTGTATTTGTATGAGCAAGATGATTGGCCCAATCTTGAGCTCGGACACAGAGCTAAATCAAGAAATATATTAAATAACATACACAAATCAATTATCTGTATTTCTGATTCACCTGACTATGTATATCCTTAATCAAATAATTAAAGAATTAACTTCAGTAATGTTAACTATATATATACAACAGTTGCAGATCTAAACCTAATACGATACAATTACCTGAAGGATGAACGAAACTAGTCACAACATGGTTTTTCTTACACTTTACAAACGACTTGCTGAATTATAACATAAGTAACATGATTCGACAAGCATAGAAGTTTATATCTGGATCTTCCAGCTTAAGGCTAGCGATTCAAAGATTTAGCAACTTTTCAAAAGTAAAAGTCATATAACTCTTGAGGTAAAATCCTGTTAGTTCGGAAAATGATGTAAGTCAACGTGAAAGGAAATGGCTAAGCTTGCATGTTTTTGACGACTAAATCTCACGTTTTAAGCCAGGAATACTTGTTGTTGTTTTTCAGTACATTTTATGTGCAGTTTTTATTTGTTGCTTTCATGCTTACTGTTGCCAATGGCAGTGATTGACAGTTGAAGTTAGGACATAGAGGATCAAAAATACCAAAGTATAACCTTTTCTATTTTGAACCTTCAGTTTTTGATGAAACTGAGTGATTGGAATTTTGCGAAATAGAAGAACTTATTGCCAAACTTTTCTGTATTGCAGTTTCTGAATATTCTGACGTGTTAAAATACATATTTACAAACATGTGTAGGCCTACTTATATAATATAACAAAAAAACTGTTGAACTGTTTTGATAAACATTACCTGAGGGGAGAGAAGAAGAGGGGGTGAGCCGTGGAAGCTTCGGAAATTATTGTGCCAATGAAGACTGACTGTGACGAATTCACTCTGGTTGTACCACATGGTTATGTCATCGTCATGATAATATAGATTTAATGGACGAGTCAGAGACACCTACAGGTAAAAACATTCACATTAAGTGATTTACTTTGTAAAGTGGATAATAATCTTAACTAAGAAGAAAAATATCTTTAATGTATAAAACATGACTACTCTTGAAATGAGCACCTAGGTTTTTGAAGATATCACATATGATATACAATCTGCATAACTTAATATTAAACTAAGCTGAATTTACTGTAAAGATAACAATGTTTTTTTTTAGGTTTTACCCTAAAATTTCTCTAAATACCCAAGTTACGATGAAATAATTACCTGGATTTATTTGTGATTTACAATTTAATCTTAAACTTAGAAAGTAATCTGATGATTTGTTGTTTTTATTATGACTCTTTTGATGTTTCTTCGACCATTTACGTTTTTTTTAAATTATTCCTGGCTATTTCTAAATTAGTCATTATTATTCAGAAACAGCTACAGGTTTTTCATTCTTAAGTATGACTGAGTGAAATTTAATCATCTAGAAAAAAAAATGTGGAGAAGTCTTTAAAACAGGAAATTTTTGAAACGCTTTGATATACAAGTGTCTGTTACTAAATGGTCGATTAAGTGTTGGAATGATGCGTTCCATTTGTCTCATATGACAATCAATCCTTTCACGTACACTATATCCATAAGTATGTCATTACAGAATATCTGTTTTCCTGCAAAATACATAAAAAGTGTTTCCTTGGTGAAGTAACTACTGATATTACTTCTAGATGACACAGAAGATGAAGACAAGAAACTACTAATAAAAAATAAAATATAATAGAGCACCTGAACAGATATTAAATTTGAGTCTGAGTCGTACTTTTAGTAGAGTAACTTTCCTTGTAAAAGGTCAACAGAAGACCTTTAACTATAATATTAAAATTTCATAAATGCAGTTATTTTGAGAGAGCTTAAACCATTAATAATGGTTTAGTAAATCTTTCATCTCTACATCATACCGACAGAATTTTCTAAACATTAATTTTTTTCGTTGGATGTTAACCAAATAAAGTGGACATTGTCGATTCACGGGCATTTGCAGGAAAGATAAGTAGAAGTAATTATATAAAACTATTTTTTCAACTTACCTCTTTTCAGGTTTTTATGTACGGCAGATTCTTTACAATAGGTGTCTGTGACTTATTGTTGATAAATTTCACCAATAAACAAAAGCACACAGTCCACTTGTTATAAAATAATATATTAGGACAGCTCAAACGTATATACAAATGTTCGTTACACTGTTGGTTACCACACTTGTATCCAGAGTTTGAAATTATAGTCTCTTTTGCATCAAAGTCCACACAGGCTGATTCATTAACTTTAGAACACAACTTGACAAGATGAATTATTCTTCTCTACTCTACAATACAGTCTGTGATACTTTCACTCTAAAATCATCATTGTAACTATTGGTTACCACAGTTGTAGCCAGAGCTATAAATAATTGTTTCTTTTACGTCAAAATACACACATGCTGGTTCATACCCTTTAGAAAACAACTGACAAGACAAGTTATTTCTTCTTTATTCTGTTATTACAATACAGTTTGTGATAATACACTTTAGAAGTCATCATTATACACTCTTTATGGTTAAATTCATAGTCAGACAGTCTAGACCTATTTAACTTGAACTACATTTTGGACTCGTATTTATAGCCCGACAGAAGCCTAGAAACGTTCCACACTCTACGAGATATTATGATTCTACAATACTCCATTAAAACAACGAGAAAAACTGGAAGGTTCTAGTAACATGACGAAAACGTAAACAGACCTGCAATAAACTATCGCTTCTAAAAATAACTACCTTTAACACTCGCGCTAAACTTAAACTATCTAAATGATAAAAAAATTTAAATTTAAATAATCGTGTATATCTAACACTTCCTGTTGTTGTTGTTTTTATTGAAATAACTTAACCTCAGGACACAAGATTCATGCAATTTAACGTAATTTACAAAGGTTAGAAAATATAATTTGCAAAATTTTGATTTTGTGGTTAAGGCTAGCTCAAGATTTTTATTCCACATTCATTTTATCGTAGCTGTTCAATATCATTAGTGGTGTATCTAACTTCATCCAAATATTACAACAAATCTCATACATATGATAAGGTTATTTTTGGAAGTAGCGTTTCTGTTGATATTTTATAAAATTGGGTTTGAATGAATTAGTTTCCTTTATCAACCTGATTTCGTAGACTATATTTGAAGATGATCAGATCTGTTCCCGAGCCATCTGATTACACTTGTACAAGTTTTTTATCTTTCAGAAGGTTAGCGATTTCAATATCCATTAATTGTATTGTTCAGAACAATTACTTCAAAACATTTTCAATGAAAAAATATGAACTTCGTTTGTCGTATTTTAAAGCATTCTTCAGAACAAATATTAAGCACAATAGTTTTTACTTAATCGAGTGAGAAGAGCTAAAAGACATTCAAAATTTTGTAATATACATAGACAAAAAACAATAATTTTACATTAAAGCGATTTGCACTGTTATCTTAATTATTTTTTATCAATTTCTTAATATTCTAAAATATTCTAAAAATCTAACCAAGATTTAATAATTTCTATTATATCATAGTCTTCCAGTTTTACGCATAATAACAATGGAGCTTGGGAAATTGTGAATAAACATACCGGTAGGATAAATAGGGCATCGAGGAATTTGGAAAAAGGAAATTCAGAGCAGAAGAAGTTTAAGAGTGATAAGTGTGTCATATTAAAGGATATACATAGTAGGATCAAGAGCATAAAGAGCAAAATTAGTGAATTCAGGGCTGTAAAGTTTAGTTTAAACTATTTTTATTGAATTTTTTTAGAGTTTTCACAAACATCCTACTATCTAACCAGCTTAAGTGAAGCCCATTTCTACCAAGCATATAATTTACCCTTACCCCGAAGAATATCCCACAGGACCAATCAAAATACCTTTTGCTCTAAGAAAATCCTTCATAAGCTGTCATTTAAATCTTAACTCCTGATAGTTATTTCTGCACGTAGTCCGAGACAGCACTTCAAAAGGAACACTCGTTGGTTCCTACTCCTAAACAAACTTTATGATAAACTGGCCGTCTTCACGTTTCGTACGTATTTGCCACAAGACAGGTTGCACATCTGTACAGGTAAATCTTAGAAAAGTTTAAGTAACCATATTGTTACTTGAACTCTCTGTCAATTTGTGGTCATACAATTACCTTAAGGGGTGACCTACAGCGAGGCAACTAGTACGTTTAACACAAGCGGCTGTTTTTTGTTATCTGTAGCTGTGTAATTACATAATACAAAATGTCCTAGGGATGAAATACCTTAGCTGGCAGAGCATGACATTTAGTTTTAAAATCTGTATAATTTTACATCATAGTACTACTGATCAGAACATTGATGTGATTTATATAAGTACCAATCTATTAATTTTCTATTTTATCCTATTATATAATTCAGATCATTATATTTATTTTACTTAACAAGATCTTTTTTTGTGCATAAAAATAGTTTGTTTAAAATACATAGCTAGAAACAAAAAGTGTTATTTAACTGTAATGTAATCTTAGAATATCCAGTTCTGTTAGCCTGTCAACTCAGCTTCAACATCTACGAGTTACAATTCTTACAGAGACTCTACTATAAACTACCTGAACTTTGTTCGAGAAGCTAATCTTTTCTATGATCGTATTCACATCTTCATCACTCACATTGTGGATATCTCTACTTTCTTCTCTCTACTGATGAACTTAGCAAGTCTACTAAATATTAGGAATACCCAAAGGTTAATACAAATGCCTATGAAGTTTATTAGTAGCTTGTAGTACAGCAAAATAATTGTAGAGGGAAAGAGATAACGCGAACGTTATCGCATCTAGAAAAGTAAGAAATAAACACTCGAAAATTTTCGCTTGTACAAAAACTACAGTTGCCTGTTTCTTTGACACACACACACACATACGTACATACATACATAATACCTACGTAGCATGAACAAAATGCATACTTACCTTGTTAATTCTTTCAATAGAATTATCTTTCCAGGAATACGCTGAATAAAGCACTGAAAGACATTGGTCATCAGATGATTCTTTTAAAGAGCGCTGTTTATTCTTCACTGATGTTCGACGAAACGTTAACGGTGAATGTGAATATTTGACAAACTCGGGTAATTCAAACGACGAAATCTTTGATGAAAAACACGAATGTTGCAGGGATTGATTGTGCAAACACTTTAATGTCAATGGGTTTTGATTTTCAGGGGACATTTTGTGGGGTTGGTGATATGACTCACATGACTTTTGGGGGGAACGGTTACTGGAGTCATTTGCCCTTAATGGGAACTGATGTGGCTTACATATTTTTATCGGAGATTTGTCATACAAATCTCGCTTCTTAACTGTGTTTTTTGGTGAACTAAATGGTGAGTATTGATGACAATCAACAGAAGTCCAAGCTTCTGAACGTAAAGCAGTAGTTAGCCCCTTACAAGGGGAACACTGCACGGTTGGTTGGGATTTATATGGAGAATGTACGATATGTTCCTGATTTGTACACAAAAAATGTTTATTTTTCTTATGTCCTGTACTCGATGAAAATTCAGACTTTTTTTGGACACCAGAGGTAGATTGTACAGTCCTCTGTTTACATTTAGAGGGAGAGTTATTGGATGTCTCTTGATGTTTACACGAACACGAAGAATATCTGTCTGACTGTTTACATTTACAGGGAGAGTTATTGGATGTCTCTTGATGTTTACTTGAAGACTGCCCAGTCGTTTGTTTACACGAACACGAAGAATATCTGTCTGACTGTTTACATTTACAGGGAGAGTTATTGGATGTCTCTTGATGTTTACTTGAAGACTGCCTAGTCGTTTGTTTACACGAACACGAAGAATATCTGTCTGACTGTTTACGTTTACACAAATCACGCTCTTCTGTGAATTGATACTTAAATGAGTAAACCCCTGTTTTATCTTGTTGAATGCACATCAACTGCTCTGTCATCTGTTGTTCATTATATGAACTATATCTTTCTGTTTGCCGACTTTTCCACAGGGAATGCTTTTGTTTTTGCTCATGTTTTTGCGCATAATCCTTGTGATTTTGTCGATTTTTACTTGGAATATCTCCTTCCAATAAGCGCTTTTTCCACGGGGATTGTCCTGGTGAGCTATTTGGTGTATACTTTTTAGGCGACTTCCGAGGTGACATACATAACACTCGTAGTCTTTCCACCACATAATCCATTCTGAAATAATTAACAGGTCTAGTTCAGAAAAAGGAACAGTGCTCTATAATAGTAATTGCAACGAAAAATAACGCCTATACTATTCTAGCTTGATTCTTTTACTTAAGGATTGTTCTTTCGAGAAATACAATTTTTTTTTACAGTGTTTGTGTTTGGAACAGCCTGGTGGCTAGGGACTCGACTCGTAATCTGAGGATCGCGAGTTTGAATACCGTTCCCGATCATGCTCGTTCTTTCAGTCGTGGAGGCGTTATAATGTGATGGTCAATCTCACTATTCGTTGGTAAATAGTAGCCCAAGTTTTGGAGGTGGGTGGTGTTGATTAGCTGCCCTCCCTCTAGTCTATCATCTGGAAAGTAAGAACTGTTAGCGCAAATAGCTCTTGGGTAGCTTTGAGCGAAATTTTAAAAACAAACAATACAATGTGTATTGAATTTCGCTCAAAGTTACTCGAGGGCTATCTGCACTAGCCTTCCCTAAGTTAGAATTGAAAGACTAGAGGGAAGGCAGCTAGTAAACACCACCAACCGCCAACTCTTGAACTACTTGAACTGACCGTCTATCATAACGCCCCCATGACTGAAAGGGCGAACATATTTAGTGATTGAATTTGAAAAAGGCAACTGTGTATCCTCAAAATACACCTTAATATAGACTTCGAGTTTAATCATAGCAAAGTATCAAGGGTTCAAATCTAATTTAAGAACAATTCGTACAACAAAGAAAACAACTAATATTAAATTTTCAAAGATGAAAATATTTTCAAAACTTGAAATTAGTCATTAAGGCTGCGTGAATTTAAATACTAAAGGCACATTGAATGAACTGATACAAAGGAATAGATATTATATGAAACTTAAATGAAAATGTAATAGATAAGTAGCTTTAAAACTTATCTAGGTTGACGTTTCCTAGAAGTTAACGTATCAGGATGTGTATAGTAAGATTTAAGGTTCGCAACCCGCTCTGCAGTCTCAGTGTGGGTACATTATTAGAGTGATAGTCAATCGCGTAGTTACATTTATTTTTGGCTGATTGCTCTCTGGTCAGTAATTCAAAATTAGGGGTATTTATACTTGAGCCGTAGGGCCGCTTAGCCTATTTGCACATAAGGTACATTTAAGGTTTAAACTTCGAATTTTATTCCAAAACTCAACAATGTGTTATAAGGCTAATGAACTTCACGTTAAATAAACAAACTGGACGTTAACTGAAATAGGCTTAGTAAATAACCCTTTTTATTCATCAGCTAAATACTTCATTTAACAAGGCTTTGAATCAAAGGGTTCGTGATTTGTGTTTCGTTGCCAAAAAATTGCGCTCCGAACTTTGCAGCCGTGGGTGCGTTATAAGAGTGAAGGTCAAATCCCACTGTTCGATTAGAGTAGCCCACAATTTCGTGTTCAGTACTGTTGACTAGCTGTCTTCTCTCTATAAGTTACAAATTAGGAACGGCCAGCAAAGATAACTGTTGTATAGCTATGCGCGAATATCTAAAAAAAAATATATATATATACGTAACTAACAGAACCTACCTACGGACTTATTGTATAGGTTCGTGTTTCTGGTATGGAGGTAAAAAAGGCATCTGCGTGGAGAAATAATCATTAATTTTTAAAAATACCATGCTGTCAGCATTTATGGTAGTGGAAAGTAATACCATAAGTAACCTAAATCAGCGTTTCTCAACCTTTTTAGTAACACTGCCCATTTGAACTTTAAAAGATTTTCTGCGACCCACCGCAGAAGAAGATTATAGAAGTATGACACGTATGACAATGTTGTTTTGTAGTTGCTATGCTGGGTTCATGCGCATGACTTTAATTTATAGTTAATTATTTGGTATTTCGCAGTTTCCATTATAATTTTGCTGTTTTGAAATATCGTCGTCTAATCTTAAGCCTTTTCGTGGCCCACCTCACATCCCTTTGCAGCCAAGCAGTGGGCCGAGATCCAGTGGGCCGAGATCCAGTGGGCCGAGATCCACACCTGATACATTAAAAAGTATGTTTCAAGTATTAACATATCAAAACAGAATTAATGAATAAGTATAAGCATGGCGATACTATGGTAAACTGCTCCCGGCATTTGTACAAGTAAAGTTACAACCAGAGAAATGCTTGTATGGATTAGGATTTGCAATTTATTAGTGGCTAAATCTTGGTTCTTGATCCTAACCTGCCCCGAAAACCTTTATTATTTAAAAGATCCATTCATTACTCTGAAACAGTCGGCAAGCGTCACTGAAACAACTTTCAATGATATGAAGCTCTGATTAATGTGACATAACAAGGTTGGTAAGAAAGCTTACAAGTATTAACTTACTATACGTTATTTAAATTTAAATAACTATGCGTCTAGTCAGTTCAAAGTTGAATAATAATAATGTCTAAATACTTGACGGTTTCACTCGTGTAGTAAGAAATTTGTTGTTTGTTTTTGGTAAGTATAAAGCTGCAGAATGGGCTATCGGCACTCTGCCTGCTTCAGGGATCCAGCCATGAATTTTAGCGTTATAAGCCACCGGAAGGCTGTTAAGAAGATACCCCGATGATGGCTAGTTCGAACTCGCGACCCTCAGATTGCGAGTCAAGCGCACTAACCACCTGGTCATTGATTTCTAAATCGTACTAAAATATTCTGAAACAAATGTATAAAAAACATTAAATGTTCTTATATTGCGTGAAATGATAAAACAATTAATACATATTGATCTTAATGGTTTACGTTGAAATGTAACACTGTGATTGCTGATAGCATGGTAAGTCTCCCAACAGTTAAAATTTCTAACACTTCCACAAACAGCTGACCATTTCATGTTATATACTTATAAATACATAACTTCACACTGATCTAACATTTCTTTTCATGAAGGGTATAAAAGCAATAAGAGATACGACAAAGGCGTAATATTTTCTCAATCGTTTGACTTAGAATGTAACTACATGTATTAGTTGAAATCCTACGATATTTTACCGGATGAAACCAGAAGGAGTTATCGTTTTCTATGCCTTTGTCAATCACGATTAGGAATTAAAAAGTCAACGAAGATACCTTTTATTTTAAATAAAACATTGGAGGAAAAAATATTATTAATTACATCCACCTTACTAAAAATAATCTCTTGGAGTTAGACTCATTATCTAATGTAGTTAATTAAAATATTGATTTTAAAGCTGAGCCAGCAGTCTCGACTTTAGTAATTACAAATCGAAAATCAAATTTTGTTTTCTTAAAGTTAAAAGTTCTTTAAAATAACTGTTGCTTTATGATCCTTGCAAACTTTTTAACTTCATGGTATCTCTGTTTTCATACTAACTTTAGTATGGTAAACTAAGGTGAAGACTGATAGATAAGGATTTAAAATTGTAACTTTATTAATACATGTGTAAACATCTTGTTTTCATAATAACTTTAGTCTGGTAAACTAAGGTGAAGACTGATAGATAAGGATTTAAAATTGTAACTTTATTAATACATGTGTATACATCTCTACAAGGTGTTGCATGTTATGCGAGTACGTTTTGATCCGCGAGTATGAATACGTAAGTTTCAGTCTTCAGGCATTAGGTATACAAAATGATATTGCTCTACTGTACGTTATACTGTTGAAAGTTTTATCTGAGAAATAAATTTTAGGCCTAATTTTTATGGCATCATCCCATAAATACAAAAGTTTGTACATATGTTTAACATATTGGCACGAAGCTACATAAGGGTTATCTGTACTAGTCGATCTTAATTTATAGACTAGAGGGAAGGCAGCTAGTCAACTATTGGGCTACTCGGAGTGAATAGTAGAATTAAATAATCCATCTCATAGTGCATCTACAGCCCCAAAGTATGTAGCGTAATTTGTGTGGCAACGGGACTCGAACCATAAACTCTATAATTAACCACTAGGCCACTCCTGACCCTAATGCAAAGGGACTTGAATTGAATAATTGAGTGTGGTCCTATTATATTGCTGTTACTAAGTGTGAGATGGTTTACACTTGTTCAAGAAGATCCACCAATCGAAAGTACAATTACATGAAACTATTTTTTTTTCATAAACTGCCAATAGAACTTTGGAATATATATATATATGCACAAAATGATTTGACATATAGAAACATGTAACAATATCTACTGATAAAAAGTTATCAGTGCAGAGGACATTTAAACAAGAACATGCGACAACACTGAAATGGTTCTACTTTTGTTCTTCATCCATTAATTAATATTTACATTTATTTGAGTGAGATTAATACTGTTGTCCAATAGATGAATGAAACACCAATTTTTAATTTTCAGTTAGAAAGGAAGTCTGATAAGGTCGGCCCGGCATGGCCAGGTGGTTATGGCGCTCGACTCGCAATTCCACCCAGAACAATCAGAGGGTCGCGGGTTCGAATCCCAGTCCCACCAAAACATGCTCGCCCTTTCGGTCGATATAATGTGACGGTCAATCCCACTATTCGTTGGTAAAAGAGTAGCCTAAGAGTTGGCGGTGGGTGGTGATGACTAGCTGCCTTACATTGCTAAATTAGGGACAGCTAGCGCAGATAGCCCTCGTGCAGCTTTGCGCGAAATTAAAAACAAAACAAACACTTATCTAAAATTAACTTTAAAACTTTGAACAGAGGTTCAAAACGGCTTTAGAAAATACCGATAAACTAAGGATCCCTTAATTAACTTAACAGAAGAAATAATAAACACATTGAATAAAAAACCACTGCACGGTCGGATGTTTCCTCGCCTTAGAGAGAGCATTCTACACAATTTGGCACAACTGTCTTAGATATAAGTTGGATTTCCAATTGAAATTATTCGCTGGTTATCAAACTTCCTGGAGCATCGCAGTAAACAAAGAATATCTTCTCTCACGAGGCAGAAGCCTCACAAGGAAGAGTGCTTAGCCCTACCTTGTTCATTATGTATGTAAACGAAATGCCTCTAAAATACTCACATTTTGCACAATCCTAACCATTGGCAGACGATGTGGCCATTGGGAAGAG